CCTACGGCAAATCCTGTCAGCCACCCCTAAGGGGCTGAAAGGGGGTATCGAAGAAAACAGGAAAGGCCCAAAAAGTTTGGAAAAACATGTTTTTAATGATCTTCTAAGGGGTAACTCGTCAAAGTAGAGCTCTTCGGGCGAAAATTTCGTCCGTTTTGCTCTATCTCTACCCGTTTACGCGCTAGAGGGTCTTTTTAGACGAAAATAAGCTGAAAATTGCGATAGTGAACAATAAAATGTAGAGAAAGGCCTAAAAACCGCAAAATAGAAAGGAAACTTTCCCCCACCCCTAAAAAACGTTTTCTAAGCAGAAGGGTGGGTTGTAGTCGCGGTCTTCACCGTTACATCCCTTTCTCGAGTTTTTGGGGCAAACTCAAAGATGACAGGTTTAAGCGGGCCGAAGGCCCGCTACATCATTCGGTCATGTTCTTCAGCAAATCGCGTGACGGAAATGGTCGGGCCGCAGGCCCGGCACCTGCCGAACGGAGTTGCCGGCGGAGCGAAGCGGAGCTGGCAACTTCGTTTGGCGGAAGGGCGGGCCTGCTTGTTATTATACAAAACGACCCTGAAATTCCCAGATCGCTCTCTCAATTTTTTCTCGAGTTATGGTGCGGACAGACGGACAAACAAACAGACAAACAAACAAACAGAATGAAACTTTTCTGGTCAGTGGGGTAATGGGCTTCGGTAATCGCTCAGCCGATAAATTTACTCACTTGTATGCCCTACCTCGCGCTCATATCATACTAGGTAGATGTACGCCAGACCGCGCCAGACCGAGTCGGGAAGCGCAAAAATGTACACAAAGATACGGGCCTTTGGCCTGTTAACTTCCCGTCACTTTGACTAAGAATGCAGGGTTGTTCATTTTTTTTTTTTTTTGCTAATTTTCGTCAAAAACTCCCTGTGGCGCCTAAATGGTTAAAGATAGAGCCAAACGGACGAAATTTTCGCCTAAAGGCCTCTACTTTGATAAGGTGCCCCTGAGGAAGCTGTAAAAAAAATATTTTTAAAAACATTTTTTGTGGGACCTGTGGTTTTTGATTTTTTTAAAATCCAATTTTTGAGCTAGAATGCTCTTTTTTGAACTTGATCTGTCTTCCTATAACACATAACGACCCTGAAAATCCCAGGTCGCTAGCTCAATTCGTTCACGAGTTATCGTGACGACAGACAAACACACACACACAGAGGCGAAACTTTATGATCATCACTGGAGTAATAGGCTTCGCTAATCGCTCAGCCAATGACCTTTATAACAAGGTAGATGCACGCTAGACCACGTCTCGCGTAACAGGCTTCGCGATATCCCACGAAACACTGATACGCTGCGACGCGCCTGGCATACATCTACCTTGGCCTGCGGCGCTGACACCTGAGTCGGGTATTGGGAAAATGTACACAAAATAGGGACTACCACAACTTGAGTTCTATTTTTAAGGTAAGATGTAACCAAGTCATGAGCGGTTCCTCTAATACCATATTTTTCTAATATTTGCAAGAGTTTGTCATGGTTGACACAATCAAATGCTTTTGACAAGTCCAGGAAGATAGACTTTAGCCTACTTTAAATTTACTAGAAACAATTTGATCTACCAAAGCAATAGGGTGTTCCAGGCTATCTAAAACGGAAGTGAAAAAGAACAAACTCACTGATTTATCTGTTTCCGTCCGCCCAGTATGGGAAATTTCCATGGTAGTTTGGTCCGATCCTAACCTCTCAAATATGGAGGGGAGCTCGAAACTAATCTGATAGTTTCTCATACCTGAAAGGCCTCGGAGGCACGTGATAAGCTCGACCAATCAGAGCCATTACGGAAACAGAGATGTCAGTGAGTTTGTTCTTTTCCTACTTCCGCTTTAGATTGCCTGGAACACCCTATTGTTGCATCAGTACAAGAGACTCCATTCTTGTAACCAAATTGAGATTTAGTGATTACATTATTGTTATATAAGAATGGCATTATTCTGTTAAGATAGATTTTTTCATGCACTTTAGAGAAAGGAGAGGTAAGAGCAATAGGCCTATAATTTTCTGGTTTAGTTTTTTCTTTCTTTTTATACAATGGTTTTATTAGAGCAGTCTTCAGTTTGGATGGAAATTTTCCAGATTTCATTGATAGATTTATAATATGAGAAAGGGGTTTTGATACTGAAGATGCCACAGATTTTAATACTAGATTTGATATGCCATCTGAACCACATGAGCGAGAATTTTTGAAAGTCATAAGACATTGTTAGACGTCTTTTTCATCTGTCGCATACATAAATATAGATTTTGGATTTCTATTTACAAAATTATTGTTTAGGTTAGTCTTTGGTAGACTAATTGAGGTGACTGATGGTACATTAATATAGTATTTGTTAAAGATGTTAGCTACTTCCAGTGGATCAGAAAACAGCTTCCCGTTTTCTGTTAAAAGAATTTTTGAAGAACTCGCTTGTTCTTTTTTTGATTTGTTAATAATTTTCCAGGCAGATTTAGAAATATTTGAAGAATTGTTTATAATGTTTTGATTATGCATCCTCATAGACTAGGTAGATGTACGCCAGACCACGTCTCGCGTAACAGGCTTCGCGATATCTCACGAAACACTGTTACGCTGCGACGCGCCTGGCATACATC